AAACCATATCGTAACCGTTAATTTGCAAATCTTCAATCCATCATCAGTATATTGTCTGACATTTCACTATTTATGCATTTCATACAAATTCCATTGTGTTCCCACTCTTCCTTTCTTGATCTTCCCCCATCTCCTGCTGGCAGACATTACGTTTACGGTCGCGTCATATACTACTTATAAGTAGCGCGCACCACACTGGGGATCTAACGTCCTCAGCAGTTGAGTATCTGAACTACTTCATAACAATCGATCATTATTTTAAATCAGCTTTAGTGTAGATTATGAAACATAACTTTGGTTTGCATTCACTGAATTTCGATTCTGAGATGTTTTACTAGAACAAAGATTGAAAGGATGATAACTCCTAGGGATAAAAAATGAAGTATTAGTGTTATAGATATTCTTATTGCATAATTATTAAATAACTAGATTATTATGATACAAATTTATATTTCTTTTAACATGAGCTTTTATTTTACACTTTAGTTATTGTTATACAATTTGCCTTTTTTAATTAATCTCCAATCAAATATTGAAATTCTTTCTTATTGAAAGCCAATTTTGGTTTGATCATTTTTAATTGTCAGTCCTTAATTTTTCTGAGTGATGCCGTCTGGTCAGCTTGTATGTAAGCTACTTCTGTTTGAGATGAAAATACAGTGGTTCTGATTTCCAGACTGATATGCTGGTCAATTGCTTTGCTTGAATGCTATTAGGAGTACACCTTACCCGGTAAACTGAGCGAAGTCAAATGATCCAGTGACATGATAGGCTATTCTAATCCATTTGTCCCCGACCCGGCTAACTATATCAAGAAGTTTTGATAAGGCGTAGAAAGTGTATTTTAAAAGTATTCAGAAAATACGAGGTGGATAAGCTTATACAGGATAGAAGCGCTTTTGGAAGAGCTTAAGAAAATAGCGTACTAAAATAATCCATCAACCGATGACATTCAAGGATTTACCGAATGGGAAATGTAAGCTGAAGGCCAGCTAAACAACTTATGCGCGAAAACACAAAAAATGAAAAATTAGGACCTTTTCCAAGTGAGTTCTGGGGACCTAACGCCCCCAACACAGGCATATAGGTAGGACAGAGAGGATCTAAAGAACCAATACGTACTTAGTCGTTGACTCAAGGTTATTAGCGCGGAAGTATATTCCAGTAGGTATTTTTGTCATACAAATTTAGTAAGTGAGTGAAAAAGGTAATAATATACACTACTCATTAACAGTATATGACTTCGAATGGTTGTCTAACTTGTTGTGGAGAGAAAGAATGCTTAGAGTTAGTAGGAAGCTGTATTACTATAGGCTGGGTGAATTTATATAGTACAAACCATATAAACAAATGAAAACGTAAATATCAAGACAAAAACACATATCAGTCATCTTAGATACTGTACAAATAACTCAGTTGATCATTAACATAAACGGTTGTACACTGTATGTTGATATTGTTGTTTTATGAACACATTTACCCAGTTGAGGAATCAGGATCTTTTTAATCATCGCAGTTTGAGCAAAATCCAGTTTGTGGTATAACGGTAGTTCTTGATAATATTAATGGCCGAGTACAACATACAGTATACAACAATAGTCCCAAGCTTCTAATACGATTTTCAGGCTAAATACCGACTGGTTTTTTTATGAATATGTTAAATACATCGAACCTATGGAATTAATTCCTAAATCGATCTAAATGCATGATCATGTCAACAAAAATTCTGGTAATAAAACTGACCAATCAAATTACCATCATTTCTGGTCAAGTGAACGACAGTAGTTTTTCCCTTTCTCTGATTGGTTGGATAAAGTTGAAATTTTAGCGTTAGGATAGAAAATTAAACAAATATTTTTGCAATCTAATCTAACCATTAGAAATGAGAATTTTTTCTTTCCTTTATACCCTCTCAACATTCATTTTAAACAGGATAAGGAAGTGTGAATTTTAGGTACAGACGGAAGATAGTGTTTCTTAGTATATTGGGGCACAGTTCATTTCTTATAATACAGGATGGGGAAAAAAGAGAGAGAACTCTGTTTTAATATTGATCAAATTGTGTAAAAGGCCATTCACTAGAACTTCTTGTAATTCATTTGACAGTAAAATGTACTCCCCTTTCTTCAGAAAGGAACAAATAGGTTTGTAACAATCCGAACGGTAGTATCTTTTAGTTTTGTAAAGTTAAAAAACACTTTCGCATAGTTAATTCACCGGTAAGTTATATTTTCTAGAATATTTAAATACAGTTTAATATTATTACATGTGTATGATCCTTCATGTATGTGACTTGTAGATCGAACTACTTCTTTCAAACTATAAATGTTACATATACTTACTTTCATCTTACATAGACAAATAAGTAATATTGATCGATTCATGATTTCAAAAATGTGTAACTTAACAATCTTCACAACCCCGTAATGCAAATTCCCTGTGCTCATTAGTGACTAGCTTAGTGAAGAATCTTCTCCGAGTTCTAGTGGGAAGTCGTGACCAGTGAAGTTCAACCTGTTCGTGTGTAGACAGTAACTACCGAAGGCTGTGTATGAGGTTGCGCGACTCCGTGAATTGTTCAAGTTAGACATTAACACCGTCAGATAGCGTCTCAGTAGTCCAGAGGTTAGGCGTTCGTGCAACAGGCCGAAGGTCCTGGGTTCGAATCTTGCGGGGTGCAGGAGTCGTGGATGCGCAGTGCTGGTGAGTCCCATATCAGGAAGAAACGGCCGACCAGGGCTTCCAGGTTTCTAATGGTGGTCTAACATTGATCAATTCATGGTTTCAATAATGTGTAACTTAACAATCTTCACAACCTCGTAATGCAAATCAGAATATGTTCGATTTCAATAGTTCTTAATATATGTATTAAGTGGGTTAATAATTTCAATAAAATTATGCATATAGTCTTTGACTACTGGTATTTCGTATAAGTTTGAACAACTTTTTAGTGTGCAAATGGCATAAACAATACTTGAGAACAATTTGTCAACAATCGATAGAAATTGGTTAAAATACAGTCTTGAAATTAATTTCTGGTGCTACATTTCTTTTCTTGAAATCATAGCAATTGCTTAGAAAAATCAGTTACAACGGAAAGTAACTCTCTACAATAAATGGTTTCATGAGCAAATACTGCTAGCTGATAAGGTTCGATCAAACATTGTGTATACATCATTTCATAGTTCGATATGAGACACCTTGACCCTATCGGGGACAATCAGCTTAAAATCCTTACGTTTCTTCATTTTCGTCTATTCAACTATCTCGTTTCTCCCAACTATTATGACTTCTTTGATTTTCATCAGGGTACTGTTTTACACAAGTAAGACGTTTCAAATGTTAGTAATATTGAAGGTATGTTAACAATTACATATGCAGAACTCACCAATACATAGTGGAATAGTCACGACTGTATCTGAACTAGAGACCTAGAACATGGTAAATACACTTAAATGTTTTGCAATGAATTTCGAATAGAATAACTAGGCACATACAAACACTATATTGAAGTTTCTAGAATTTATTGGTGTTCAATTCTATTGTATTCAAAGTATCTTTACTAATTTTTAAAAATAAGAAACGTGCGATTAATTTAAATCTATGTAGGATTATTATTACTATTATGACTACTACTACTATTACAGACAAAAATAATGATAATAATGATAAATCCTTTCCTCTAATTGAAAATTTTACAAACACATTAAGGTTAATGACGCAAAGATAATCATGTTATTTATACTGAATTAAATGATTCAATTATCAATAGAATTCTCAATCAAATTATCTACACATGAATAATCTAAAAGTTTATCAGAATATCTATTAATTATTATTATTATTATTAATTTACCATATGTATACATTTCATTATATAATAGCATGCATTCATTGTGTATACAAGTATAGTTAAGTGAATTGTAGGCTCAAATCTAACTACTTTATTCTAGTTTATTAAGTAGCTTCATAGCATATTCTATAAATTTTCTTACTCATGATTTGTAGTCTAGCTTAATGAAACTTATGTTTGTTAATAATATTATGGTAAATCTATTGTCATTTAGACGATAGGTATCCTAGCGAGTTATCGCTAAACTGTTAACAGAAGATTGATTCGTGATTTTAGAAAAGTTTATAGTTTATGATAATTCAAGAATTGAAAAACCTTACTTAGATTACGGCCAAATACATGCGTTTTGTCCTACCTGGGATTAGTTAGCTAGATATTCGATATTCCACTAACTTATGGAGTTCTTATAGGCACTAACTTGAACAACGGATAGGAATTTCATGGAACTGAACAGTTAAAACCACTAACATTAAAAATATGACGATACGAGCCCTTTACAAATACAATTAATCAATGATCGTAAATATGCCTACTTAACTAACTTCTAAGATGATAATTGTTCCCGATACTTTAGTTTATATACAACAGATCATATTAAGTAAATTTAAGTTCAAAGAATAAGTTTGTTAATCTTCAGGATTAAGTAATAGAAAGGTGCTTATCAAACAGTATATCAGTCAATTGATTATTATATCCGTTATGCGTAACAACAGACACTAATTTTAATCAAGTATTCTACACTAACTACTTCACAATATTTAAGTAAATTATAACTTTTTATTGTAGAATTAAATAGATTGTGGATTTTCATTGAAATTATGAAATTATGTTAAACCACCAATAGTGATGAAGCGTTCATACGCGAGATAGAAGGTCCTGGGTTCGATCTCCGGGAGCGGTGATCGTAGATGCGTCCAAACGGCCGCTCAGGTTTCTAATGGCGGGTTGAACAATGAACGATTCATAATTTCAATAAATTTTAGACTAATTTTATAATATCATTCACAAAAAATTTTTTTCTAATCATTACACTAAAAACTACATAGAACTTTCATTATCTTGAATTTTATTCTTTACAGGAAACCAAAAGAAAAAAAAACGCAGGAGATTTTGCAAAGAAAAGTATCCAATTGAAATTTAACCCTAAATGCCGATTACAAAATCCACTACTATTCACGTAACAAAACATGAACAAAATGATGAATTGAGTAGAACATATTTCTGTTCAAGTTTTATACCATCTCATCAAATAAAAATTAATTCATGGAATAGTTATTTACCATCAACCACATGTAATGAGGTTAATTCTATTGAAAAATTAACAAAAGAAGAAAATTTATCCTGCACCGCTACTACAACTACTACTACTACTAATACTACTAATAATAAAAATGTAAATTTTCAAAACCTGAATATTACAAAATGCTTTGAAGAAACAAATGAATTATCAATGAGAATACCTTATTTATTTCCAGTTGGTTGGGTAAATACATTTTATTTCAATAAATAATAATAAGTTTCATTTAACCCGATCGACCAACACAGTTTGTGAATTAAAATTAGTTTTATTTAATTTCAAATGTTCATTGTTAATTTGATTGATTACTTATGGATTGAACACATCATCTGAATGATTTGTTTATAAGTATTCAATACGTTTTTCAGTTTACGAATTGTCTTTAAGAGAGTTTAGGTTTATTTTCATTGAGATCATGAACCGATCAATTCTGAAGTACCATTGAAGTCTGGGAAGCATTGCATAATTGTTTTGTCCTTGTATGGGACTCCGCATCATTGCGTATCTCTGATCCCCTAGATCATCAGTTCTGCAAGCGAACACCTAAATGAATCGACATCCAATGTGAATGTTTAAATCCACTATCACATTGGTCGAATCATGAGTTCAATGAAACTCAACAATCTCCATAAACCTTTTTTGATGACATTTATTTATTATTATTATTATTTTTAAAGAGTTTCATTGATGAATCTTTCTTGTCAATCATGTGTCTTTATTGAATCCCATAGTAAATGAATGTTTGATTGTATTTTTGAATTGTTTCTACTAGTGAAATTCTTTGAAAATACTGTTAGTGGGCATATAAATTCAGTAGGTTAGTGGATAACACGTACATGATTGAAAGGATTAGATACTACTTTCAACTTTCCGTATGAATATCAACGTTAATTGGCAAGTCCAAAATAGGATGAAACACACAAATTTTTATTGCCATATCTTTCCAATTTCTTTTCTTTTTATAATCTCATCCGCTTGGTTTAGCCTTTTGCTGTTGTTCACTGTAACGCTTCCTTCTTTACTTCTTGTCTTGTTGACTGCTTCATTCTGATTGTATTGATATAAAGTGTAGCACCATGTAACGATATACGTACTAAGTTTAATCAAACAAAATTACACGAAAATGGGATTAACTTGTCATGGAAATCATTAATCGATCCCAGGATCGTAGGTGAACACATTTCTGACGAGTCTCATCCTCAGATGAAGTAGCCATCCGTTGCTTTCATGTTTCTAATGTTGGTCTAACAATGATCGATTAGTGATTTCAATGAAACTCAAACTATGTTCACAACTCCACAATGAAAATTAGTCAGAAGAAAGTATTTATTGAAAAAAATTTGTCTGAAAAGACGATAGATCTATAGATATGGAAAAAAAAATACTGAACAGTGTGATAACCCACAATGTAGAAATATTTTGTAATTTTTATATTGCTGTTGTAATTATTATTACTGTTGAACTGCATATAATTCACACTCATTTTAATACAATAATTACATAATGATCATTCATCAAAATTTACCTGAGTAATTAAACTTGCTAATATGAATTGATTTAGTTCTAGATGAATTGGACAAAATGATACCGTTTGACTAACACTTTGTGTATATGTGAGTATACATTTTGTTCCATTTTCGATGTACTGTCAGCAAGTATCAAGCATTGAAACTTTAGTCTACATTACAAGTTCAATTCAATGTAACCGATACATGAGTAATGTTTAAACGTTCTACCAAAATGAAAAAACCGGGGAATAATACGAAATCTTATTCATCAACTACTTCCATTATATAATCATTAAGTGATCCTTTTACCTTACTAAACATAATCTTTTTGTTAGCTGAGAACTTTTTTATTTCAAAGTTGAAAATCATACTGTCCTAAACATTTGTAAAACGATAAACAAGGTAAAATTGATGTAACTATGAATATTAGCTTAAACTGGTGTTGGTATACATCACAGGAACTACTGAAAACAAGTTAACACTATACGGCTTCAACAGTGTTCAACTACAATAAATGAAATGTGGATTATTTGAATCCTGATTTATTACTCTAAATGCTTCATATTCATCATAAACCAGGAGATTCACTGGTTCGATTGTGATTGTGCGCTTTTGAACATTGTATAAATGCGAAAAAAGAAACAGTTTTTCAATAATCACTATTTTATTAGTGAAGGAAAACTACTAAAAAATTATACTAATCTCAACAAAATCTCCCAAAATATATAATTATTTTAATCTAAAAAATCTCATCAGTCTCAGATCAAAAAACTCAGAATTTTGGACAGTTGTTTTGAGCCGGTATACAACTCTTAGATACAAGTGACTACTGCAGAAATCGTAACTGAGATCTATGGATCTTGCTGCAAGTATTTAACTATTAGAACCAGTGTTTAAAATCAGCGCTAAGTAGAAACTCACGTAAGTCACATGTTAATTTCAATCATTATAATTGTATTGTTTTTGTTTTCATCTCACCGGCATTCTGAAGGTTCCACCACCTCCACACATTCTATTAGCCTATTTACAAGCAAATAAATTACTTCAAAGACAACAAGAGCATCAGTGCTATCACAACGAACAACAACAGTCACTATGTTATCAGGGGCAGAAACAATCAATTTATGAGACACAATCAATACCGATTAACTATGACATCACAAATCAAGAAGCACGCAAAAATACACTGGATTTATCAATCTCTAATAATGAAACAATGAAAACACAGTTTATAAATTCTTCCAATTATTTTGGTAAAGTAAGTTATTTTACAACTGTACCGTTCATTATACATATATATATTTATAATTAGTGGTTTGATTTTACTTTTTAAATCCCTGATTAAATGCTTAGTAGAGCAAGCTGAAAATTTGTTACAATGAATGTAGGGTTTATTGACATTGTTTATTTAAACATGCATATATTTATCATGAACTATCACCAGCAGAGAACCAGTTCACAGTTACTTCCTTTTCGTCCAGAACACTATTGGAGTTTGGACTATAGAATTCAGATCTAGACAGAAGTGTACTTTCTCTAAGCCACTAAGTTAAATCTTGTTCTTCACAACTTTTTAATTTTGCCATTTTGGAATATTAAGCAACGATTATTCATTAGTATCAATGATATCCATCTAAATTATCTACTTAACCGAAACTAATGAAATATTGTAAAATGGATTAAAACGGTTATCTATTGTCACCTATTTTACCGTTGGTTTTTCAGTGGACATCAGTTTGGAACGACGGGAACTTGCCTATTCGAGTTTTAATTAGTTTCATGGATCGTAAACTAAATGTTAGAATAGTTGAAATGACAAATTGATTCAAGATAGGCTACCATTAAAAACCTAGCAGCTCTGAACAGCTGTTTTATCTTAGTATGGGACTCCTCAGAAGTGCTCATCCACGATCCCCGCCCGTGGGAATCGAACCTTGGACCTTCGGTTTCGCGTGCGAACGCTTAACCTCAAAACCACTAAGCTGGCACCGATGGAGCTGATGTTTAACTCCAATCAACTCAAAGTATCTTTCCTCTATATTAATGATACTGTATGATTGAATTATTATATAAGTGATTTTGATAAATCAAGGGTTAAGATACACTGAATATGGCAGAATTGGGAAATGTTGATACTTAAGAGAATTCTAATTAATTAATTTAGTTTATTTTGATATTATACTGAGGTAGAGGAATGTAAGAATTTTAGACCTGGAATCCAGATTAGGGGAAGCATTTCCTGTCAGCCTACACCATGATCTCGTGTCGGTGTTTGACTGAATAGCTTCAGCTAGCAGTGTCCAATGATTAGTCCTCAAAAAAGTATTTATAATAAGGATTTGTTTATAACAACAAATGAAATAAACATTTAAAACATTTCAAGTGATATGAAATTAAGATGAAATCTAGACAACTCTTCTTTTCTTGCATTGAAACAGTAACAGAATTAACATGCATAAAATATACCTTTAAATAGTGAAACTATCATTGTTAGGACACATTTAGAAACATGGAACCACTGAACCACCATTCCATCCTAGTGTAGGACTCGTCATCAGTGCGCATCCATGGCACCCGCCTGGAACCTTTGGGACCGCGAGCAAGGGTCATGGATGTGCACTGCTGACGAGCCGCCCATTAGGACGAAACGGTAGTCCAGTGGTTCCAACTATTTAATTTTGATCTAACAATGGTTGATTCGAGAAAAAATAACAATCTCCATAACTCTATTATGAAAAAAAATCAAAATATACCTAAAGCGAATTCGTTTTAACGATTACTCCCATAGTTAACCTGTTTTTATTTGTTATCAATCAATACTTATATAATTATGATTAGAAAATTTCATAATTAAGTGACAACGAGTTTATGCAGCAGTGTGTGTAGTTGCCTATTATTACAATAACTTGAACCTTATCAATACTGTCTATGTAAGATTCAGCAAGTGATGAAATAAAAATTGTTTAGTCCACGGCTTAGAACTTTATATGATTTGCAATATAAATTAACCATAATCTAACACTGTCGTTACCTGTAATATGGTTCAACTTATTCAGACAATAGAAGTTAATCATTTCAGTGTTTTACTGGATGCCAAGTAGGCAGAAATTTACATTTTGTCACCGACCATTGTACAGAAAAGAAATATCAGGAAAAATTCTACTATCCAACTACACTTATATAAGCATAAAAACTGTTATGATAAGTGCTTAACTCTGAATTCTATATGAATGCATTATAGGTTTATTAATTATTTATAAGTTTTGTCAAAATTCTCAGTAACTTAGATTTATTATTTTAATAGTTCATTCTTCTCATGTCTGTCTCCATTTCTCGGCGTAATGTGTTCCATGATCTTCCTCTTTTCCTCTAACCTTGAGGGTTCCAACCGAGGGCTTGTCATGTGACGCACGTGGGTGCTTTCCTCAATGTGTGTCCCATTCACTTCCAGCGCTAATTCCTGATTCCTTTCTCCACTGGAATCTGGTTTGTTCTTTCCCATAGTAGGTTGTTGCTAATGATGTCTGTCCAACGGATCTGAAGTATTCTGTGTAGGCAATTGTTAATGAACACTTGTTTCTTCTGGATTATGGCTTCAGCAGTTTTCCAAGTTTCCGCATCATACAGTAGAACTGCATGGAAATTCGTGTTGGAAATTCTGACTCTGTTGTTTGTTGACAGTTGTTCTGAGTCCAAGATGTTGTTAATGTCGAGGACGTTACATTTCCAGAACTCATTCGATAAAGATCTAAATTTCGGATTTTATGTTTTCAAGCATGGGCCGATCAGTTAACCTTGAGATTACATTTCACACTCGGAAACTCATTGACTGTTATTGACTGATGTAGTATTTTAGTATACTATTTTCAAAGACGTTTCTATCGTGTATAAATAAACTCGACGCATGTTGCTATACAATTAGGTTCATACAATTTTAATAAATAATTTATAGCTGACGCATGTTTTCTTTTTTTAATGCTTTGAACTACATCAACAACAACAACTACTATTACTAACACTATTATTATTATTAATATTTATTATTACTATTACTATCACTATTACTATTACTTCATAAAATCGAACTAATTAATATAACTGAGGTATTTTGTTGATAAATACATAAGATTATTACATTTATTCAAATTCAAAACTATGGCATTTCTACGATTATATATACATTAAGCTTTGATTAGTTTATTTTTCATTCACATGTTAGTTACTTGTTTAAAATGCGCTTACAAATGTACTCATTTTTCATACTAATTGATTACCGAATAAAAACGAATGTCATATTTGTCTAACTCTTAATTCTGATAAGATTCTATCAGAATTTGGAACATCGTTTATATGACTTGAAACTAAGAAGTGTCGTGAAATGACAGTTTCCACGCGCTAGAAAGTATACCAGGTTGATAAGAGCTAGCTAACTAGAAAAAAAACTTGCTTGGGTCACCCAAGCAGCTGCCTTTCAATTAACTACTTCGTTGGCCATTTGTAAACTGTTTCTGAAAACCATTTAGTTTGATAATGAGTAATGCTAATGGGTTTTTCTACAAGCTACACGCCCAAGGCAATTATAGTGTGATGATATTTCATAGTAATATGACCTAAAATTTGGAAATTGGTTTTTTGTGTGAAATTTAATTCTTTTTAAACTTTCAGAAATAATTAAGCTAATTTCCAATGGGATGTTTGAATTAAGTAAAGTTGTTGTTCTTAGGATTCTCAAACAATTAATATTTTTAAAAATTACTTTCTAAAATTAAAAACAAGATAATTATTCTGAAATTAGTTGATTCAATGCTTCAGAATTGTATAGAGATAAGAACGAAACAATCGAAAATTCCTGAAATTCAGTAAACTTTAGTAGGTACCACAAAACATGGATAAGATTACATTCGATAATATTTTCACGATCTGAAGACTAAAGATGAAAATATCGATTAATATAACAAGGAAATAAGCTAAATAACTAATCTTTATTCTCACTTAGAGTTATGGAGATTAGTGTTTTTACACATTTGAATTTATCAATCAATCTTCTTTAGACCACCAGTAGAAACCTGGAAGCACCGCTGGCTCAGTGTTCCCGAGGTTAGGCAGTCGCGCACAAGGCTGAAGATCCCGGGTTTGAATCCTGCGAGGTGCAGGAGTCATGGATGTGCACAGCTGATGGGTCCCATACCAGGACGAAACGACCATCCAGTGCTTCCAGGTTTATAATAGTGGTCTAACAATGATTGGTGATTTCAAATGTGTAATCTTTATTCACTGAGATGAACGAAGCAAATGTTTATAATTGTAAATTTTTTCCATAATCATTTAAGTCTAATGTTTTGGGATTTATAAACCAAGAGACTAAGTTGGCAAGTTCCAAATAAGACAAACATGCACTTTTGATTGCACTGCTAGCTATATCCTGTCTGTTCTGAATTTTCTATTAGTTCTACACTCACAAATATAGTTTATGATAATCTGTTCTACATAAGACTGATTTAAACATACTTACTTTACTTACTTACATCTATTACCCTCATAGGCTGCCGACCACTATTCTCCGTCTGAAGCCCCTCTGGGGCTACTGCCAGTCCCAAGCCAAAATAAAGCAGGAGGGTTGGCGACCTCATCTCACAAAAAAACTAACTCGCTAAAAACACGTTAACCAGATTTAAACATAAATGTGCATATATGAAATCTTCCAATGATGTCCTATCATCATTGATACAAGAACAGTGACAGAGATATTTTTTACCTATGTCTGTTCTCCTAATAATATATATACCTATCCGACATGTTTGATTGTATAAACGAGAAAGTGTGCATTTAACTTTTTAATACAAAATGGACACATAAAATTCATGTAGATGAGTAGATGACTTCGGTAGAAGAAGCTGAGGGAACAAAATAAAATAGAGAAAAAAGTTTTCATAGTGTAATAAACATTGAAAAAAATTCAAATAAATAAAAAAAAAGACTTATTCGTTTACTAATTTGTTTGTATATCTGTCTTTGTATTCGGATGATTTCATTTAACACTCTACTCCTGCCAGTTTTTTTTTGTTTATAAGATCAGTAATGAATAACTAGCACAAATTACCATGACAGATTCATTCATTTGTGAAAGTTTATTTCTATGTAAAGTAAAATATATAAGTGAACAACAACTTGCTTAAATGGTTGTGAATTGGAATGGACATATATATATATATGGTTGATCAATTCTATACACTTTAATTATATGGTTTAAATCGCCAATTATTTATTATCTTGATAAAGAAAGAAAATACAAGCAGTGTAGATTTCATTGTTATCAATATGAAATCATTTAGATAGTTATATATAAACTATCACATCATTGAAAACCAATATAATAAAGGGGATTGTGTATACTACTGAAAAATAAATGAAATATTGAACTCAGTGAAATTTTCAAAGCATTACTGAGCGAAGTCTCTTCTTCTCGTTCATTTTATTTTACATTTCACAATAATTAACTGTATGTAATCTATCAGAAGCAGATGGTCATTCACTATTCAGTAAAATAATGTTAAATATATGTGATATTTTTTTTGAAATTTACATCGAAGAAATGATTAAATCTCGTTTTGTCAATGATGGCAGACACTTTCAAATACGTATCTTTCTGTCGTTCGCACATGAATTAGGCAGGTGTTAGATTCTATTGGAATAAATTTAACATTTTCAGTGTTATCATAACCGAAATGATAATTATTGATATGATATGATCTTGTTTATTCAAATACAAAGGACAGAAATGAACATTGAACAGATGGTTCATAACACCGATTACTTCACCTCGATGGGAATATATATGTACGATTGCATAAGTTCGTATAAGTTCTATCGAGAATATTAAACTGTTACTATTCTAAACACTATGATCAATGACGTAATGATGTATGAAGTAATTAAGATACTACCAATTGTTATTACTGGTATTGTTATTTTAATGACATAACTTATTTGTCCAGTGAAAACTTATTCGACTTACCAGGAGGTGATTAAAAAAAGGAAACTGTTAACTGTTATTGAACTGTTGAATTATGAAGATCATTTTACCGGTATCATTATACCAGTAGGTGGTAGGAAATGACATTTTAAAAATATGATTCATAACAGTTACTAACTTGGTTATGTAACCAACTGTTTATTCTAAATGATAAACCATGACGTCTAAAAATCTTTATTTGTTTACTTCACTTAACCACTGTATGGGGGGAGCCTAGTAATGCTGAAAAATTCAGAGAATAATTCGGCTAAACTATTTCATTTTAGATTGGAATTCTCTAAGAATATATACTAATAACCTCACATAAGAATCAACAATTTATTCATATGTCTGAAAGCGAGCACATTATAGAGAAATTCTTTTCTGACTGGCCAATATAATAGCCAAATGTTATTATGAAACTTTAAAAAAATATTCTACAATCACTTATCGAGAAATTCACAAAAAAGTCATTTCTTGAGTTAGTTTACTTTCTTTCTTAACTATCACTTTAAAGAAACCAAAGATTTTTCGAAGGATTTATTCAATGTTCAATTACTAAGGATTTTTCATCAAGGTTAAATGAATGAATGGATATTTGATTGGATCAATCAATATAAACTACATAGAATGATGCTATTTTAATGCCGATTTTTTTCTTTGTGAGTGAATTGAGAAACGATAAATACAAATCCAATTGAATCTATTTCTTCCAAATCCAATAACGCATATCCATATTTTTATATATAATAATTTAACATGAACTATACATATTTGAGAGTTGTGAATTTCGTTCGTAAAATAAAATGATTATGTATATTTTATGATAAAATTATTGACAGGGTTTAGACTCTATACTCTCTTTCGTGGTTTTCATCACAAATTGGTATAAATTATGCAGATCTTTGAAAGCGAATAGCTGACTCTTTCTGATTTTGAATAGTATCTCTGATGACATCGGCTCATAAAACAAACCATCTGAAAATATAACCGATTTCCAATAAAGGGTTGCTACCTATCAAACTGTGGTGTTTTTTCATACATCATTCAAAATTACGAAAATCAGACCTCTCTGTGAAGTGTAATATAGACGAAATTGATCATGGTTACAGTTATTCTTCCTCCTGTACACACCAATGTTTCTACTAGTACACAGGTTTGAATAGTATAAACAACTAAACGTATTGCATATTTAACCATTTAATATGCGTATATAAGTATGTGGAGGTTATTGAATGTTTATCATAATTAGTCCTTATTTTAACATCCATTAAAAACGAGAGCCTGTTACAACCACTTGCTTTCAATGATTATCTAACTTATATCAGTTCATGATGTTGATGGCATTCAGTATTGATCGTTCATTTTAATTTTGTAGTAATTCTTAATAATACAGTAATTGACAGTTGAATGCAGACTACGTTTATTCCTAACAGATTAGTAAGTTGAGTTTGTTTAAACAATTTGAATGGTACACATAAAAATGTAATGGATTAATAGAGGTGTGAAGCTATTGATCATAGGAACTATTTTGATATTTTTTAGAATTGCTTCAATCAATGTTCAATGACTATGTGCTCTGATTTCATAAGACACTAAACAACAAATGAAATATGTTTTAAAATCGTAGAAATTCTGTTTTTATAAGCAATTTAATTGGACAAGACATAATATAAACTCGAATTTTTGTGTTTAACTAATATAATATAGTAATTATTATGATTTACATTTTATTCGAAAATGAACTAACTCAAGGATCAAATATTGAAAGATGAACATATGCAAAGTCAGGAATGGGTTCAAAATTCACGAATGTTGAATAAGAGAAGTAAGTTGATTTGAATGATTTTCAATATCTGTTTTGTTTTATTAAAAACTAAAGTTTCATTAATGACATGAATTTGACGATGATAATCGTAAATTACTTTGAAATAATTCTCAGCACCAAGTATTTTGGTTTTTTGAGTAGCTACCTTACTTTACTCTGAGATTCTTCAGCTTTACATATACTTAATACTTCATGAATAACGCATATATCATTTTGAGTATTCAGATTAGCCACAATACTTCCTAGTATTTCTGTTGAAATGAAGTTTTCATACTAAAGGTTGTTGTGAGTTTCTGATATAATATAATCTTTATGTATTGCAAATCAGTTTGCTGAGCGACTAATTGTCTTTCAGTATAATTGCTTGTTTGACCATTATCATACACTTGAAAAGTTTTCAACTACTTACGCAATACCTAAACTTTCCTTTAAGGAATCATGTAAAATTTTTTTCTTATTCAAGAATGATTTTTCCGATTACAACAACATTGTATACATCAAGAATAAGAATAACAACGCTTATGCATCAATATAACTTTAGTAAAATTCAATCGACTAATTCCAACTTGCATAACTTGGAATTAAGTCATGTATTTAAAAAAAGTGAATGAAACAGGACAATAGATATATCATTAAAAGTTATGTATTTGTATAACACTCAAGGATATTATCCCAATAATTGCCAGTTAAATTAAAATTCGACTTATTATAGTGGCCTGAATAAAGAACACTGTCATCGTCAATTAATACTGACATGAAATGATAACTAATACCTAGTGATATGTTATAAATTCATGTATAACTTGTCACAGATTATAACTAATATTTTTACTATATTAAAGTCATATTAGAATAAACCGAAACTTTTTAACTCTTAAAAGCAGTAATTTGTGCTACTTACTTACTCCTGTTATGCCCCAATCGAGCAAAGGCTGCCGACCAGTATTCTTCAGTCTATTCTGTCCTAGGCTTCCCTTTCCAGTTTCATTCAATTTTTGTTCATTCTTCTCATATCTTTCTCTATTTCTCGGAGTAATTCGTGTCTTGGCCTTGCTCTGTTCCTTTGACCTTGAGTGTCCCAAGTGAGGGCTTGTCTTGTGACACAGTTACTCAGAGATTCACGATAATTAGAAAGCAAAGCATAATAATACTTACATTTTTAGGAAATTTTTTTCATACTGTTCCTCACGGACGAAACAGTAAGAGGTTTTATCCAAAAAAGTAGATTATTTGGTTGTAATTTTCACGGAACAGTAATATTACTTAGCTTGTATTTCTATAAATGGAACCATTCTTTCACTGATTTTTATCTTTTAGAAAATGATCAACACGTGAACATTGAACAGCAAATTATAACAATTCAACAAGATGTTATTCAGCTAATAGATGATCACCAATCTTTGCTGACTACGGATGACTTAAAAAATCATTCAAATATATGTGAACCAACCATTTTACAAGTTATAAAACAAACTAAAAAAGAACAGTATCAAGTGATTTGTTCAAAACCGATCCTATCTGGTACTTTATTAGGACCATTCTGTATTAATGAATGCTTTAAAATGAATCAAACAGATGGTCAACTGTATATAAACCAAAGTGCAAAATTACTCTCAGTAAGTTTGTAACAGTGAAAGATTTTGTGGCCATTCACTCGTAGACCATCATAATGATTGTGCACTCTAATCTATCACATAACAAGATATCATGAAGAATGAAAATTAACTTGATAGGGGGGATTTTTCAACATGGCAATGACAAACCTAATTGTTTTCCTAGCTATGGTTAACAAGTCAAAAAAAGCTTGGAAGAAAGCAGCAATATTACGTCGATTATTTAAACTATGTTATCTCATGCCAGTTACTGGTTTATTCTATTAGTATGCCCCCTTTTTCAATAATCATAAAGTTATTTATTCAGTTCACGTCAGATGAAAATAAAATGTGATTACTAATCGGATACTGATATTCACTTCAAATTTCTGTATTCATCCTGTGCTTTAGCCACGATTATTGATGTAGTCTTATTACATCATATTGCAACTTTGAAAGGAATTATTTTCACACAGACTAGAAATGGCATTCTTTTTGCTTTTTTCTGACAAATGACTGAATGATAGATTTTTATTTACTGATAAATTAATTTTTCTCATGCCTGATTATGGGTGTGTAACATTATTTTCAAACCATGAATCGATCAATGTTAGACCACCACTAGAAACCTGGAAGCACTGGACGGCCGTTTCCTCCTGTCATGAGATTCATCAGCAGTGCCTATCCACGACTCCTATACCCCGCAGGATTCGAACCCAGGACTCTCGGTCTTATGCGCGAACGCCTAGCCTCTGGACCACTGAGATGCTATCTAACGGTGTTAATGTCTAACTTTAACAATTCACGAAGTCGCGCAACCTCATACGCAGCTTTCGGTAGTTACTGTCTACACACGAACAGGTCGAGCTTCACTGGTCACGACATCCCACTAGAACTCGGAGAAGATTCCCCACGAAGCTAGTCACTAATGAGCACAGGTAATTTGTATTACGGAGTTGTGAAGATTGTTAAGCTACTCATTAGTTCAAGTTAGACATTAGAACCGTTAGATAGCATCTCAGTTGTCCAGAGGTTAGACGTTCGTGCATAAAACCGAAGGTCCTGGGTTCGAAACCGGCGGGGTTCAGTAGTCGTGGACGCGCACTGCTTAGGACGAAACGGCCTTCCAGTGCTTCCAGGTTTATAATGGTGCTCTAACACTGATCGATTCACGGTTTCGAATGAGTAGCTTAACAACCTTCACAACCCCGAAATGTAACGTTATTTTAACAAATTGGTTTGTCTACTTATGAGTAGTCAAGTATTTCGTCATTATTTTTGTGGGTCGCATTAAACTGAGAGATGGCTAATGGTTAGCATTCTCGTTCAATAATATTGTATCGACAGTTCAGAATGACGAATTAGGAACAAAGTTTATTGTGATATTGGGTTTTTACGTTGGAATTTTTACGGAAGATGAATTACAATCAAACTAGTTCAGTGGCCTGATTAGCTCGTAGCTACTACTCAAATTTTGACTAGAATAAGAATGAAAATTTCCTTCAGATTAATTTGACCTTATATAAAAATCCCTTGATAAAAATTACACACCATTAAATAATGAGTATTCTTTCAAGAAACAGTTAAACCAGTTTGAAAATATACCAATTTTCATTTATTTCAAGTGTGAATTATTCTGTATTATTCCCAGTTTTGAAATTTACAACTTAATATTTTGGTACAAAACTGATCATAGCCTATTAGTTTGTGACCTTACATCCTTAGAATATGGAAAAATTTGTTAAGATCTATTTATGAAGCGGATGTGTGTAAACTGTAATATTTTCATAGTTTATGAATCACGGACTGTTCTTAGCTAGACTATAATTAAAAGCCAGGAAGCCAGTAGTTGTATCTAATAAGACTTCGTCATACAGTGAACTACCTAAAAGATTGACTTTTTTCGGAATCGAGTATAGATAACTTAAAAAATTTATTCACAAAACCAAAGTAGATTCAAATCAATAGCTAGTGAATTCAAATGCTTTGACAATGCCTTGTAAGTAGATCAAAATATTAGCACTTCAAAAAACTAACCAACCAAAAACAGTTAGGATACTTTCAGTGAGGAAGCGTAGTAGAAAAGTGTTTTATTGGTGAAATTCAGTAATTTAAAATAAAAAGTAAGGCTTCACTAAAGTAAATAATGAAATAGTATGTGATAAAGATCGTAGTTAAAAGTTTTAGTTCTTAATGTATTCTTCCTTAATACTGTTGGGGACGTTAGATCCCCAGAACTCGCTTGATAAATGTCTTGATTTTGGATTTTATTCATGGACCGATCAGTTGAACTTGAGATCACATTTCCTACCAGGAGAATCTTTGGCTGTGATTGGTTACTGTTTTATTTTAGTGTGCTGTTTTTGTGACTCTCCCAAAGACGTTTCTATCATGTATAAATAAATGCTATCTGTGTACCTGAATTCATTGTGCTTGCTGGAGCATTGTAGAATACACTTTCTACGCTATATCAAGACTTTTTCGTTAGTTCCTTTGGGTCAACGGATCAGAGTAGCCTATCGTGTCACTGGTTCATTGTCTCGTTCTCGTTTATCGACTAAGGTGAACCCGAAATACTTTCAGGTATAGCAAGTAATGAGCATAACAAATACTCTTCTCCTAAAAATTATTTTAAATAAATCACTCTGTTAATGTTGATAGAACTGAAGGTTTAGATGGAATTTTATCTTCACCTAAATTGTACTTAATACATAATGATAGTTGACATTATTGATTTTTGCATATTTGTAGCGTCTATAGTAAATATGTTCATTAATTAATCTTGTACAACTTTTTTTCCAGATAAGTGATACTCAGACAACGATTGTAGATAATTCAATTCTTAGTACTTTACAAAATACAACTATGTTATGGATGACATTGGTTCGTGATATTTCCATTCAAACAGTACAAAATATTACTGTCAATACAAATCCAATCCAATCGAATATTATGCTGATATCTGTAATTGATAATTTAACTAATAATGATAATAATATTAATAGTGTTTTACTAAGTAATAATTCCCAATTCATGAATACATTCAATCAACAAAATAGAAAATGTTTATACTATTTTAAAACTCAAAGATACATTCATACGGGTGAAGAGCTTTTATTAAAGTAAGTTATATTTTTAATGGTTATTAGCTGAGTATACATACGTAATCATCAGTTAGATTATGGAAAATAATGACTATGTTCATTAGCTGCTGTTGAATATTTTCATGACTTCTCCGTGATAATCAGCAATAGTTAAAATCATAACAGTTTATTGATCTTTTATTTGGCTGATATTAAAATTAACTTTTTACTATAAATCAATGGTCACTTACAATTCTTAAATGATTAGCTTTGAAGTTGTATATCTTAGGCATGACATAGCTGATACATACTTTTACATTTTTGCATAAAGTTATACAGAATCAATAGAATAATCAAATGCATAAGATGTTACCAATTCATAAAAATATTAGTCTGATAGTCTTGATACTGTCAATAGTAATATTATTTTTCAAATATAGAGAATAACTTAAAATCCTGAACATTTGAAGGTTTAGATTTACGTTTAAATTTGTTTTAATAAACCTACTTTTTGTAGTTCACTCCTAGTTTTTAAATTTGTTAAAGTTGAGTAGTACTTTTCCCGATCAGTTTTATAGAAACTCATAAGTATTTAAAGTAGGTCAAGTGAATACTAAGCATTAGTGAAACATTTAGCAAAGTAATTTTTATGTACAAGACAAATTAATAGTGAATATTGTATCAGTGACACGAGTAAATGAAATTGAATAGCAGACTAAATTTTGTCAGTGAGTTATAGTGATGAAGTTTCTGGTAAAATGATTTTTGAATTCCATCGTTATTCGACCACATTGTGAAACATATCAATCTGAAAAATATAAACCTCAACATTGATTATTGCCTGTTATACAATAAATTAAATCATTTCCTACCAGATAAACTGTCATTAAATAGAAAATTTCTAGAGTTAGTCTGAAATGAAGAGTTAGTTTTTGATGTTAATGATATCATCAATGTACATGGTACTTTGTCTTTATCAGTGATCGATCAACGAGAAGTGATTAATGTAACATTCTTCTAGTCTTTCAGCGTTGATTGAATTCAAATTAAAGTAACTTCAAATCGCGTATACTTTTTTAAGTTGGTTAAAGGAATCAGACGGGAAACTCTGAACATTGGATTCATATTAGTTTGCGCTGATCAGCAAGGTTTATCTGTAATCTTAAAGAAACGACTGCTTCCTGTAGGGTTCTACCCTGTGTTATCCAGCTTCATAGACGGAACCATTAACTTGAGTGATTTGGACTGCGAAAGCCTCATATACGACTGAAAGATAATGCACAAGACGTTGAATCCCTTAAACTAACGGTCACTTAACAATCTGATCGATAGAATTCAATTAGCGCTAAAGTACTATAAAAAAAAGTTACTGTTTAGTGATTGATCAATTTCCGAAATAGATCAGGTGACATGGGGTAGATTTCCACAGTGATCACTTGCTCCCTGAAGATTATAAGTACATCATTTGGTAGAATATCAAGTAGTACAAAATCTAATACTTAAGGGACTATTTCCACTCATCTAAAAACTGCTTTGTATTATTAGTTTTTGATATCATTTTGGTAGTAATCAGTGTGTAAGACCTACTTTGTAAACCTGTCCAATTTATAATTACTAATTAACAATGAATCAATTAAACAATCGTAATTAAAACCATATAATTCAATCTCTACATTTAACTTCGTAAAACTGTTGTTTTAATGAGCTTTTATTACTAAAATATTTATAAAATGCATTTGTATTTGATATTATTACAGTGAAAAGAATCCATTATATGACATGTATCTGCTTATTAATGCAAATATAAAACTATATAATTCTTCTAAAAATTCAGCGTCCAGAAAAATATACACAGAAAATAATTTTCCATCATCAAATCTTTATTCACAATATCTTAATATTGATCAGAATGTAACAAATTTGAACAAAATCCGCTCAAATAATTTAAATCTTAAAAATTGTACAAATAATAATAGTTTATATTATGTACGCAAATCAACTAAACCTATGGGAAATGACTTTACATTACAGCAACAAAAAGTAAAAGATTCAAGTTTCAATACATCTCTAACAAATTCATTGAATCAATCATGGAATGGTAAGGATAATCAGTTAAAATTATCTGGAAAACGACATAATAAAGAAACGGAGGTATCATTTAATGAAGAATCAATAAAATCTGCATTTTCTCACGTTTCATCACCAAACAGATCCAGTGATTATAGTTTAATCTCATCACAAGCAAATTCTTTTCAAAATTATGCAACAGAATATTCAAATGATGATAATTTATTAAAACAATCAATGAATAGTGTTCAAGGACAATTGAAATCTGCTCATATGATTGAGACAAGTCCAGGTAATTAATGACAATGAAAGCTGGAATTTTAATTCGATATGAAGATATAAAGTAATTATATATATCTATATACAACTGTCAGGTTAACAGAACTTTTCCAAAGAACTTGACTAGCTCACGAATGGACTTCTACTGTGGTGAGAAGTCAACCATTCGCATTGACTGAATAGTATTCTGCATCTTGGAAAATATTTTCTGTTACAATTTCTGCTATCGCAAACTAACTTTTTTTGTTTACAAATATATTAACAGAAGACAATTGCCAAAAATGCTTAATGATTGCTTATTTAAACGAGAATCATTTGATTAACTTGAAAACATACTCTTATATTTAAGTGATATTTAAATAATAATGGGAGCTTGAACAAAACGCTTTTTTAGCCAGTTAGTTTTTTGTGGGATGGGGTCGCCAACCCCAACCCTTCATTCAGGCTTGGGACCGGCAGTTACCCCAGAGGGGCTCTAGGTGGAGTTTTAAACAAAAAGTATTTACCAATAATTATTACATATTTTTTACGCATCAGTGCATAGGGTGCAACAGGGTGTCGCTTGATTCCGGAAAGTTACATTAGTTTTAATTGTGTAGTAACTGAATCGTGAGTATGAAGACTGGCAATAAAGTAATTCGAAACAGACTATACAAATTATGAATTCGAAATCAATGAAATATTGTGTTGTTAAAAATATATCATAAGTTTAAATGAATAGTAATGAAACGCAATAATCAGTGTAGTCATTCGCTACAAATACACGAACAGAACACTCATTCGGTATTTGGTACCATTTGTGATGTAAAAGAGAATGAATTTACTATCCAAAAGTCCTACAGGTACGATAGCAGAATAGGAATTAGTCAACTGATATAAATATTATCTAGATACTACACATGATCTTAGCTCAGAGAGCCGACAAGTGACATGATAAATGGGGAGAAAACTTGCATTACTTGTCACTTTATTCATTAGTTTAAGTCATTTTAATGCGTTTTGAACAATATAACAATATATTATGTGATTTATTAAATTAATTCGATTCAAATATCTTTGATTTAATTTTCACAGCTCGTGAAGGTTATACTTGTGATCGTTGTGGAAAAATGTTTGCTTATCAATATTATCGGGACAAACATTTGAAATATACACGATGTATGGATCAAGGTGACAGAAAGTATCCATGTAAACTTTGTTCCAGGTATTTATTGTTTCATTACAAATATTTTAAACAAGTGAAATAACCTGTTAGAAAATTACATTAAGCAATAATAGTTTTGTGAAACAAAATGAATTTATATATTATTTATGGATTATTTAATATTTATAATAATTTTTGATTCAATATCATGTTACCACCTTATGAATACAAGTCATTCATTCGAGTTCAATTCTGTTGGTCGAAAATCCTGACATACAAAATGTCTTTCAAATGATTAATTATTATTATATAAATTTAACCTGTATTGTCAAGAGCAATTTTACATTGGTTTTAAGGAGAACCAAAAAGACTGCTCATGTTTTACCATTACTACATGAACAGCTCGGCTCAATCCTGTGGTGCAACCACACAGGTACCTGATACCCAGGTGGACCATTCACACCATTTATATATAAACACTGGTATGATCGCGTCAATCAATATGCACCGCATGAACAGGCCATTTCGACCCATCCCGCTTACATGACTGTCAAACTCATTATTATTAGCAATGGTGATATGTAATACAGCACCCCAATGACAATGGCCCTCGGTAATGTTGCAAAACAACCACCTATATCAATGAAATCTGTCGCCCTGCTAACCAGTTTTGTATAGGGACTGTTAACAGTCCTTACCGAAGCAATGCCAGGCCATCCACAATGTTCACAGAGAACCTCTAGTCGATAGATAGTTGAGTCTCTAGCATTTGAATCATTGATATTCAGATGATCTGTTAACGGTTTACCGATTGATCTCCTGTAGATTTCCCAGTGGATTATGACGCCAGTAATATGAAGCTCATTAATGTGAATCTTACTGCAATCCGATTTCCATTCCTCGTTACATTATCGATCTTATTTCAATATTGTTATCTGCCATAACATGCTACCTTAGACAGTCTAGTACTAGATAACTAGGGGTATTCTAGGTGGTGCATAAAGCATGTTAATTTAAAACATGTTTTATTTTTCAATATAATCATCTAGATCAAATGAACTCTTTTAATCCAAAATTAAGTATGATATACATTTATATATACTTCAATATTCAATATTTGTTCATCTAATAATTTGATGACAATCGGTTTTCTGAGACAATCCCGACCACAGCGATTCCTAAATGACGACGTATTTTGACGAAAAACTAAGTTAACACGTACAAGAGACTTTGAGTAATGATTGTTTATCAGACAACTTTATTATTATTATTATTACCATTATTACTATTGTTATAACATATACATACGAAATTCATCAAATTCTCAAACCAATATTAAATATTATAAACTATTCAATTCACTTTGCTTCAAGGTCATTTGAGAAACGCGATCGACTACGAATACATGTATTACATGTGCATGAAAAGCACCGACCACATAAATGTCATCTATGCGGGAAAAATTTTAGTCAGTCATCAAGTTTAAATAAACATTTACGTGTAAGTTAGAATAAAATGTCCTTAAATTACTTACTACTTTATAATTTTGTGAAATTCATTGATTATTTTTGAGATGCCGAAAAAAGTATGTATTGTAGATGGTTGAATTTAATTTTTACGACTACAGTCTGAGGTGAATGATTTAGCTGTTGAACTTGCTCTGTCATTTACTGCAACATTATAAATGTCGAGTGAAAAAGGAGCTGAGAAGTTGTAGGCTTTTCATAAATCCTAATTTGCATTAAGGGGTTGTGGAGATTGTTGAGTTACTTTTTGAAATCATGAGTCAATCAATGTTAGACCACCATTAGAAACGTGGAAGCAGTGGACAGAAGTTTCGTCCTGGAATGAGGAATTTTGTCCGAGTTCTTGTGAGAAGTCGTGACCGATGAAGTTAAGCCCTATTCGGGTGTGAAGCAGTGTTAACCGAAGACGGTGTAGCAGGTTGCGCAAGACCGTGAAATAATCGAAGTTAGACACTAACGGTGTTAGATACAGGTTTAGTCGTCCAGAGGTTAGGCGTTCGTGCCCTAAACTGAAGGTCCTGTCTTCGAATCCTGCGAGGTTCATGAGTCGTAGATTCTAATTTGTTTGTTCTGATGGCTTGCATTGTCATAGGTCAGCTTTATTATCCATACATGCATCTGAATTCTAGTGCTTTACTAATTTAACACTTAATTTAGTTGATAAAATATTTTACATTGACCACTTGGAAAAACTAGTAAGGGATGAAAAGAAAAAGATCTTTCATCTGTCACATTGTATCTACATTATGTATCTGAGAAATTTCCGTAAGTTATGTTAAAGATCGATTAGTAATGAAAAGAATTGTTCATTGGATATGTAAAGTTATTATTGTAAATACAACCTTTGGTAAATTTACGTTTAGCATGAAGCTATTTTTTGTGCTGAGGGAGTATGAGAAGCAGGATGTATGGTTATATGGTAGAGGAAAGAACAAGAGAAAAAGTGTGCTGACGACTCAGTAAGTACATAGAATGCAATCTGTGACTAATTCAATCTCAAAGTGAATAGAATGAATGTAATCATAAACAATCTTATGATAGAATGAAATCTATTTTACATATGGATACCAGTGGTTCTTTGTTTGCATAAGTTCAATCTTAATGCAAATCAAACATGTGTTGTCCAGTTTTATTTAATAACACTTGAATTTCAAGCTCATCATAATTTCTAGTATTCTCAAAGTACTGTGTTTACTGGATGATTTGCGTTAACTAAAGTAGGTACGAAAATTGAAATCTTCGAAGACTGTTTTCAAAGTAACCAACTTTGACCTATTTAAAACAACAGTCACTTTTTCATGAACTATTCAACAAGTTGATTCTATGTGTTTGACACTTAACGAACTTAATAAAAAAGAATTTACATGTTTTCCATGAAACGATATGGTTATATACTGACTGCCATTCAATGTACTACAGTTAATAATTAATCTGTTTCAACTTGATCCCATGTCATAATAAGAATCAGTTGAATAGAGTAGTTTCTTAAAGAATACTTGATAAGTGTTTTCGAATTAAAATAAATCTTATTGAATCTAATTATTTCCATCAGTAAAAAAGCATAGTATTATTTGATTACTGAAAATGTATGGTTAATTAATGATAATTTCATTAAGATGGAGTTTATAAGCATGATTTATTTTGAAGTCATTTATTTTATTTCAAACCATGAACTGATTGACAATAAATGATAATCGTACACGGTTCAAAAATTGAAAAAACGGCTGGAAATATAAAACATTGAATACCAACCACTTAATTATTTGACATATTCAATAATGATTTTCTCAAGTTATAGTTTTTAAAAACTTATTACAGTGATTATAAAACTTTTCTATTTATTTCAGGTACATAGTGGTGAACGTCCATATAAATGTTGTTATTGTAATAAAGCTTTTACTGCCAGTAGTATTCTACGTACACATATTCGACAACATTCAGGAGAGAAGCCTTTTAAAGTAGGTCGACTGATGATAATGCTTTAATCGATTAGATAAATTTATTCATTATTGTCTTTTTAAATCTAAAAAAAATGTTACTAAAGAAACTATACTTTTGTTATTAGGGGAAACATAATCTCAAACATAGATGTGATTCAAACTTACGTCAATCCCAAACATAAAGTACAGACTTGAATATTCTCTGAGGACCTTCAAACTATTAAGCTATTCAGTAGTATAGATGCATATTTTAATGCAAATTTTTTTATTCTATGCTTAATAACACTTATTATCATTCTACTGATTGTGTAATGAAAGGTTTTAGAAAATAATATCAATATTAGGTGGTAGAATTAGTTTAATCGTTTCTCATTAAAACGTCAAACGTTATTAAATTTGAAATGGTATAGGCTGTTCCACCATAGATATATTCTCATCCTATGAGAAGTCCATAGATGGATCGTGAACAAACATCCAATCATGGATGCTCATTTCGTCCTATTCGGAAGTTATCAGTTGGATTAGATTACTAGCCACCGGTAATCGATTCCGTATGTCAAATCTTGTGTTTTGGTTGTTAGAAAGAATCAGTTTTCCTGATATTTTGAACTATTCAATAAAGTGTTTTGTAGATCGTTAGATTCCTGGTAAGATTTGGGTTTATATTACCAAATCTTATGACCAAAGATGCATGAAATGAATTATGCAGGTTGCAGTTAACTTTCTGTATAACTGTAAAGTTTACGCTGATTGATCACCTATGGCTACATCATCTAGTGCTTCGCTTTTGCTGAACACTGTTGGCCACAAATAAGAGTAACTTTATATCGTGCTTTATATTAATTGACTGAAGACAATCACCAGAAATTACTGACAATAGATTTGAAGCTACTTGGCATTCATCATTAGGGTTTACTTGCAGTCATATGGAAATAGGTATATTGTCATATTATCCTTTATCTTACCTAACTTTCTAACTATTCAAAGTGAACAGTTGCTTTATCGCTGAAATCCAAGTTTAATATGATTTAGGTGATAATGTTTATCATTACTATCATAAAAAGCTTAAATGGTAATTGAAAATCCTTTACTTATATGATAGAAGTACAGGCGACTTGTTTCTAAAATATTAGTGATAATTATATTCCATTTACTAGATCGAAATAATATTGTATAGTCAAAGAGTGGGTTTTGTTTCGAGAATTTGGATGGTGTTTACCACAAATCGAATTGATTATCTTCGTTAAATAGATGGAATACTTTCTAATCATTCTTTGGTGGTAAATAAATACCCAGATTACATTGTTTTGCAAGTTTTCGATGTTGATAATGAGCCCATTAATTTCTCTGAACACCCTGTGAGATAAAGAGATTCAGTCAACTATCCTCATCAGATCACTGTTTGGTATGTGCTGTAATGAAAATCATTCATGAAAATTCTTAAGCACAGATTATTATCATTCACTGTATATTTTTTTTGTAAAGTATTCTTTTTAACATTTGAATATTTTCAATTATTAGTAATTTATGTTAATGATTGTAATTACTTTTAAATATAGTGTAAATTTTGTTGGAAACCATTTGCTTCACATGCAGCACATGATAGTCATGTACGTAGAACTCATTCACTAGACAGTAAACTAATGAATATTAATCAAACTTTTCAAGTGAATAACATCTTAACAACATCAACTACTGATTTTAAACTTACAATGGAATGAAACATTAAATCTGTAATACAGAATGAAGCTGTATTATTTAACATAATGATTTACAAATTGAAGGTGAGTTAATTTTTACAAGCACTATAAATTGCAGTTTTTTGATGATTATTATTTATGGACGAAATATTTTGACTTTACATAAAGACTCATGGAAGTTTGCTCAAAATTCATTCATTCATATGACCAAATAGGTTAAAGCTAGTATTCGTGTCCAAAGCCCTAACTATGACTCTTCATACTAATTTATAAACTTCATTAAACCTTAGTTAGTGCTTGAAGTTCCTCAAGGCCACTTTAGTATTGCTTAACTGTTCTTCATAGTTCGAAGTCAAACCAGTAAAACCTTAAAATCACTGAAAAACAGAGAATTGAAGACTGATACAGTGAATGTACATGAAGATAAAGAGTCGTGAAAGCATAGAAGTAATAAAACAGATTATTTGAATTTTATAGTAAATAAGAGCTTATCTGGGGTTGCATGTATGCCTTGCTGTCTTTTGTTAACAGACACAAAATGTATTTTTACAACTTCCTGTGAACGACTTTAAAACAGTTAGGATACAGAGATGTATATCAGTAGAGGCATAAATACTTAAAGATCAGATTAGAAATTTCGCATATTTTCCTGATGTTAATTTTTTAGTTTATACGTACAAGACACAAGAATTTCGTTGTTGGTGCCTGTGTCTGCGAGATGACATTGGAGTATGAAAAATATTCTAAGCAAAAATCAGGACTTACAAATAGTAATAATAACATATAAAGGATAGAGATATAAGGTTAAATTTTTCATGCAGTTTCTAATTGTTTTGATGCAACAACATTTGTTCTGTAGACTTAAATACTGTGAGGCATCATTCGGCATCCAGTTTTTTTCTTAGCAGAGAAATCGCGATATCCTAGTAATGTATGAATAACACATCAATATGTAATTTCAATACCATGACAGGGTGACTTTTAGTATCTACAGCTATAGGAAAGGGACGGAAAACAGATAGAAAAGAATTATTGTGATAAATCTGCTGTTACAAATAATTTCGTAAATAATTTTAATTTTTTTTTCATTCATTTCAGCAGCAGTTTTCCTCCCCAAGTTAAACATCATATCAAGTCATCTAAATTTTAAATAAAAAATAATCTATATAACTTTATAGAAGGAAATAACAGTTACATTTTGTTATTTTACGTTTGAAGATGGTAATTGTTTCGATCTTCAAACCAATAGTCATATTGTACTATAGATCAACTGTATTTCCTTACTTTCTTCATTTGTAGCTATCTTTTGTTACTAATGTATATATTACTTTGAAATAAATTAGAATGTTTATTTCATTTTAATTCAGCGCTATTATTTATATTTATATTAGGCAATAATGATCTTTTTAAAATACTGCACAAAGATATTTGGTAAATGTCTATTTGTCTGTAAATAGAGAAGAAAACAATACATAACCTGATCTGAAAAATCATTTGTTTGAGGTTGGAAGTAGATGAGAGTTGGAGTTTGGAATGTATTATGATGTGAAGAAACCATAGTTGTACATTGTGGGTTAAGACAAATAATAAACTTAGTTGGTCGTGTGTTTCTAGCCAGATCACCTTATTATGAAATACCTTTTCGGCCCTTCATCCTTCACGTTACTGCAGAAAAGTAGTTAACAAGATGTTTCAAAAATTTAAGCTGTTCGTGACAAGCATATCTCAGGGTGTGTTAACTACTTTAGATACCCTTTACCGATTGGTAAGTTTTCTCCCTCAGATTTCATTCAGCAGAATAATATATAACTTTTTGGAAAGGTTGAAACTGACCAAGGTTTAGGTGCTCCACTTGCGTCCTTTTGACGCAATAAAGCTGTCATTCAAGTGTTAATTTTTACTCATTACATGTATAGTAGCTTCCTATAAAAGGATATACACACACTTGGCACAAATTCACCGAGATCAACTTACATTAGTCTTTCAAACTACTTACCAACTGAAAAACATTACTTCTAACACATAGAATTTGATTATATGGTGAAAGCAACCTTTGCTTCATCTCGCTAAATCTATTAAATATTATTTACAGGATGAGGCATATACTGCATCTCCAGTAATATTATTTCTTTGTTCCATCATGGTATTCTGTTAGGGGGATAGTTTGATGATTAGGAAAAGACGAATGAAGCCGTTGAATGTACTTTATTTGCGCAATCTGCTTTGAAGAAAAGAAAATCAGGAAGCAACAGTAAAAATAGCTTATCCTGGGGTTTGATTAGTAATTGTGAAATATATTTCACCTGGATAGCACCTATTTTGCTCCAACATCTGCGGTTCAAATGTACCGGTGTCCAGTAGTTTATTACTTTTTTACTTACTTACGCCTGTTATCCCCAATGGAGCATAGGCCGCCCACCAGTTTTCTCCAACCAACTCTGTCCTGGGCTTCCCTCTCCAATTCTGTCCAGTGTTTGTTCATTCCTCTCATATCTTTCTCTATTTCTCGGCGTAATGTGTTCCTTGGCCTTCCTCTTTTCCTTTTGCCTTGAGGGTTCCATGTGAGGGCTTGTCTCGTGACGCAGTTAGGTGCTTTTCGTAGTGTGTGTCCTATCCACTTCCACCGCTTCTTCCTGATTTCCGCCTCCACTGGGATCTGGTTCGTTCTCCCCCACAGTTCGTTGTTGCTGATGGTGTTTGGCCAACGAATACGAAGTATTTTGCGTAGACAGCTGTTAATAAACACTTGTATCTTCTGAATGATGGCTTTGGAAGTCCTCCATGTTTCCGCTCCATACAGCAGAACTTTCTCGACATTTGTATTGAGAATCCTGATTTTGGATTTGTTTGAAAGTTGTTTGGAGTTCCAGATATTTTTCCACTGTAGAAATGCTGCCCTTGCTCTGCCAATCCGTGCCCTCACATCTGCATCGGATCCATCTTTCTCGTCGATGATGCTGCCCAGATATATTAAGGTGGTAACACCCTCCAA